ACAGTATAAAAAGTAAGTAGTTCTGAAGTTATGCTGTCACAAATCTATCAATGAAAATAAGAATAATAACTACTATTATAGCAGCACAAAATCCAAAATGAATTCTGGAGTTTATGACTAATTAAATTTGGTATGTACATTAAGATTGGTATGCTGCTTATGCCACGGCCAGAGAGGATGTGTTGAGAAAAGCTGCAGAAAATGGGAGAAAACTATGTGAAATGTTATTAGAGTGACAGTAACTGAACCGACAGTCTTATGTCCCTATGTCTGTATCACAGCTGCTCCCAAACTGCCTACTCCAGCAAGACTTGATTATAAAAGCTAGCAAAGAGGTACAAACTGGTCCTAGACAGCAGGCAGTCGCGCACTGTTGTTTCTGCTTCTCCTCTTAACTGTGAGTATTCGTACACAAATAAGTCAGGGTGAAGTGAGTCAGGATGAAGATTCTCACTGCTAAAACACCTTTGGCAAATGCAGGTACCACACAGCAGTTCTGTGTAGAAACCCAAATACAAGTTTGCCCTCAAGTAACATGTTCCTATAGCCATTCCATAAGCCTTTTTTCTAGCCTTCTTACCAATTTTAACATCACCTAGTTTGACAATCACCAAGAATTCTCTTTTTTTTTTTTTTAAATGAACCACCTTCCTTTAAACTCTAAGAATCCAAGGACTTTGAAAGACCATGAAGAACAATGCTCTGCTACTGCTTTTGACACCATGGTTTAAATAGTTTTCCTTACAACTCAGTACAAACAGAACACAGAAGATGAAGAGCTACCAACAACTATTTCAATTTTTGAAATACTTACTTATGATGACTGCTGCTGTGACGATGATGATGGTGGTGATGGTGGTGGTGTTTTGAATGATGCTGGTCTTTCTCAGTAAGAGATGAGGATGAGGAATTAGAATGTGAAGATCCCAGGCTCTTCCTCTGTTCTTTTGTCTTCTGTAGCACTCTCTTGTAGGACAGTGTGCAGAGCCAACACAACAACTTTCCATCAACCTTTTGAGAAATAATTCAGGTTTTATTTCCAAATATATTGCACTAGAGAGACGTACTCAGTGTTTGCAATAAGATTTTGTTTCACTTCACCCACTATCATTGGGAAAACCAGACATCTTTGCTATGAAACATCGTTATTGTATCTCCAGTATATGTAAGTTTCTTTTAGTAATGTGAATCTTATTCCACTTATCCTTTAAAGTTATGCTACAAAGAGTCCTAGCAATTTTTGGACCTGCTCTACAATGCAGAAATAACAAAAACTTTTTAAAAGGACGAGTCTTTTTTACAACTTTGTTACTTGTACCAAGTAAATTCTTCTGTAAAAACAGCATTATCCTTGGGTTCAGTCAAGAGGCTTTTGAGGTCATTTTCTCAGCACCTTCTGGAATGAGAAAGTGGCACTCACCAAAGCTATTTAACAAAGCAGAACACAAAGGGCTGCTCAGAGCAGTCTACCTCTCTGGTGCTCTACTTAAAGGCAAGGCAGGCAAATAAGAAGAGGTAAAGTGACAGACTCAAGTTATGAACATACAAGAAATCCAACGGATAGGAAAAAAAAGTAAAATAAATATCAAAATATGAGGAGCTGTTGAGCTGTTTAACTTCTGTTCCCCAGATACAACTGTCTGCGAACACATATGCCTATTTTCACAAAAAATGATTTAATTAAAAGTTAGCTCAGTAGCTAAAGTAACAATTGCAAGTTACAAAATTTAATTAAAATATTGTAAAGCACATATCAGCAACTTGAATCTAGTATTAGAGAACTTAAGACACATTCCTGTTAATCTTTGTCTTCTGAAAGAGGAACACTATTGTCAGCCTAAGCCATGAGAGATGTGGAACAAAGCCTACCTTCCTTCTTCCCTCCTCTTTTCGATCAAAAGCACATTGCTGTTTGCACTGCTCACAGGTCTGGGGTGGACCATACTTCTTCTCTGAGTTGGTGCAACGCTGGCATTTTGTGCCAATAAATGCTGCAATAATGTTACAATACTGACAAGGCTTGGGCTGAAAAAAAAAGTCAATACATTTGTATTTGCAGTAATGAAACTTCTGCTATTTCAATTCATACAATCATGCTTCGAAACTGGAAGAGTTTCAAATAATCTACCTTAAAGAACCTTTTTCCTACCATTTTTATCTTCAGTGTTAAACTTTTCCTCTAAAGTGATGCTTCTGCAAGGATTAAAACCAGCCTAGACTTTCCATGAAAACCCAGACACAAAAAAAGAAGCACACATCTATCTGGTTACTAATCTCTACACCTACTGCATTTTATTTTTTTAAATATATTTTTTAAAATATATTTTCTCTCAGTTTTGCCACACTACTTAAGAAATTACTTGCACAACTTTAAAATAAGAGTAATCAAGTGATATTTTTTAGACTGGAAGTCTCTGATGGCATCCCTCTCCTTTGCACAGCTCAGGGATTCAATAACCCTACAGTTCCAAGATTAGTATCCTAATCCCTGAAATTCTGCAGGAAACTTAAAAAAAAACCAAACCAAAACAAAAAAAAACCCTACCACCAAACAAAAAGCAATCAAATAGATCTGAACTATCAGGTCAGGTTATCAACTTTTATATCATACAGTCAACTAGACTAATAGAGTGCTGAAAAATAAAATTGATGTCAGTTTTCATAGGTTAGAAGTGGCTCATTATCTTCAGTGCAGTTCTTTTTTTTGATGAACTACTGATAAAATCGTTGATGGTTCTGTCCTGCAATTCATTTTGCTGCAATTTAAGCTTCTGAAAGCAATTCTTTGTTCAGTTTACATACACATTCACAAAGTGCCTGACTACATACCAACAGCTATTACGCTTCTCAAAAGAGTTGAATTTCAACTAATACAGTTTATGTCAAATATAGCGAAGTCATGCCTTTTTGTTTCACAAGATTATTTTGATACCTCCTAAAAACTCATATCTGCACAGTAGCTCAGATAGAATGTGTGCATTCATATGATAGAAAAATTAATTTTTCCAACAGAACTGAAGCTAAAATACAACATGAGAAAATATAAAGTAACATGAATGCTGATAATACTCCAAATCTTTTGTACCTATTAGTTTAACACGATTAATATGCATTTTTTAAGACTTACGTTATATAAAGTATGTGGTATTACTAGACTTCCACATTTACCACTTGTTAAGAACAATGAGAGCTAATGGTCTTCCTGCCATGAAGCATGTGCTTATGAAAATATGCAGGGAATAATGGAACGTGTGTGGTGTGAAATAACATTGCTTTGTTACAAATAGCTATATTGAAATTATTCTTAACTGTTAAGCTATATATTACCTAAATGGGTTTCAATTTGGGAAAAGAAACAGTAGCCCACAGAGGAAATCAGGATATGTCAGGCTTTTCCATCACCTTTCTAGATGGCAATCTATAGTGTGGATTTGTTTGTTTTTTTTTTTCCTCAAAAGAAAATAAGAAGATTAGTAGCAAGAGAATTTTGTTTTTGGTTTGAAGCACAAACAAGCTAAACTTCAGCGTAAAGAACCAAGTAACTACTCACCGTTCCGAACTGCTTCACGTTTTGGGCACATTTCTTGCATATTGTGTTGGTTTTGCTAAAGAGATAAAATAGCACAACATTGAATTAGGTGACAAACGTGCACTTTGACATTGTTCCCCATGCAATTACTTGCAAGCAGACTCTGAGAAGACTTGGGTTGGAAGGGACCTCCAAGGCAGAGTCACCCAGAGCTGCGACACAGGAACGCGTGCAGGCGGATCCTGAGCGTCTCCAGAGAGGGAGACCCCATCACCTCCCTGGGCAGCCTGATGCAGTGCTCTGCCACCCTCAGTGTAAGTAAGTTCTTATGTAGAGGTGAAACTTCTTGTGTTTTAGTGTATGGCCACGGCTCCTCGTCCTGTCGCTGGGCACCACCCGCTTGGCACCCGCCTCGGAGGTATTTATATGCATTGATGGATCCCCTCTCAGCCTGCTCTTCTCGGGACCGGCCAGGCCCCGCTCGTGCCACCGCGCCCGGCCCCGAGCAGAACCCGCCGTACCTCTCCTGCTGGAACTCGGAGCGGCAGTAGGTGCACTTCACGATGGGGTGGGCGATGCGGCACTCCTGCGGGGACAGCGCCGCGTTACTGCCCGCCGAGCCCCGGCCCCGCTCCGCCCCCGCCCGCCGCCCCAACAGCAGCCCCGGCCGGGGCCGCCGCCGCACCTTGCACAGCTGCTGGCCCTGCGAGAGCTCCTCGAACGGGTACCGCTGGTTGCACTTGGTGCAGGCATAAAGCGCCGGGGCGGCCGCCGCGCCCGCCGCCGCCATCCGGCGGGGCGGACACGGGCGGGCCGAGGGAGGGGAATGGGGAGGTGCCGCCGGGGCGAGGGACGGAGCGGCCGCCGGGGCCGCCGAGGAGGAGCCGGGGCCGCCGCCGCCGTCCCGGTGCCGCTGCCGCCGGTGCCGCCCTGGGCCCCGCGCGCCGCCCGCCCGCGTCCCCCTTGTGTCGGCGGCGGCGGCGTCACCCCGCGCGCGCCCCCCGCCCTTCCTTCTCTGCCTCCCTCCCTCCGCCCCGGGCCCGGGCTCGCGCTGCGCCCGCGCAGCCAATCGCCGCCCCGCGCCAAACCTGCCTTCGAACGCCGCCGCCCAATCGCCGCCCCCGCCGGCCCCGCCGCCGCCAATCCCGCCGCGGGCGCCCTGCCCTGCGCCGGGCGGTGGCGGCGGCCCTGCGCTGCCATTGGCCCAGGCGCGGGGGCTCCTCTGACAAAGGCCGGCCTCTTCCGCCATCCTCCCTCCGCGCGTGCCCACGCGCCGCCCCCCCGCCCGCGCCGCTGGCTTCAGGGGCTCGCCCGCCGCCCGTCCCTCTCGATTGGCCGAGCGGCGCCCTCGCTCTTCTCTTATTGGACAATTTCCGCGTCAATCAATGCTGAGAGGAAGACGGGGCGGGACTTACGCGCGGTCCTCCCTTCTCATTGGCAGGCTGGGATAGCAGTCAAGCGAGCGAGCCGCCGCGCGGGTGCCGAGCCTTAAAGTGACATGGGCCGGAGCGGGCTCCCTTGTGGCCGACATGGCGGCAGCTAGGGGCGGCCGGCCGCACACGCTGGGGCTCGGAGGGCGTCTCTCCGCGGTGAGGAGCAGGACGGGCGGGCCGCTTGTGAAATCCGGGGGGTAGCGGCCGGGCAGCGCGGGGCCGGCGGCTTGCGTGCCGGGAGCCGTACGGGCTGTGGAAGCTGGCTTGTCTGTTATGCATGTGTGTGTATATATATACGTGTGTGTGTGTATCTACACGTGTATATAGATGCTTATGTGTGTGCATATATATATTTATGTGTGTATACGTGTGTGTGTGTGTATAAACATGCCTATATACACATGTGTATGTTTGTATGTATATCTGTATATATGTATGTGTAAACCTATGGTGCATTCACGCATGTTTTCTAAAGCGACAGAAGAAAAGATACTCTGCTATTGAGCATCTTTCTGTCCCCACGCCAGCGTCTGGAGATGGTGTTTGCAGGTGAACGGAACAAAATGCTGCCTTTGGTTTGCTCCCAGACGTGTCCCGGGGCTTCGGGCTCTGTGGTGTTCGCCGCTTTCCGGAATAAGTTGCTGTTTTAGTTGCTTTTCCGTGTTCTGGCAGTTTTTCGCGTGAGAAGCTGTGTGTTGGGCGCGCCCTGGAGGAGCAGGCTGCGGAGGGGTGGTCCGCTCCTCTGCGGGTCTGGCGTCTCGCTGCCGGGGTGAGCGCCCGGCCTGGGGTTCTCTTGGGTGTCTCCTGCCCTGCAGTGTGCTCCCATACCTGGGCCAGCAAGAGGAATCTGGGTACTCTTTCCTCACCAAAATTGTTTCTAGCAAGCCTGGAGAGCGATCTCAGAAAACTCGTTTTAGTCTACAGTAGGTAAATGTAGGCTCTTTAATAGATTTGGTAAGCCAAACAGAACTTTTGGGGAAAAAAGTTACCTACTGTATACATCTGGCACTCTACAGCAGATAGTTGACAAAAATTACTGTATCGTGTCAACATTTTTTCCTCTCCATTTGATGTAATTGCTTAACTAAGTTAACTTTTTAATGTCTGTTTTAACTAGAAATGTTACTGAAATGTAGAGTGCTCCTGACTCGGTCTCTATCAGGGAGGCACAGCCAGCACTTAACTTGGTCTGTGGGTGATAGGAGCTGTCCTTCCTTCCCCTTCCCTCCATTCCTAGTTTGAATGACTGGGTACTTGAATGTTTCATAATCACTACATTTAGTATCTCATTATTTTTGGGTTTTTTTCGTTATTTTGGGGGTTTTTTTCCTCATTCCCTACATAATTTTCCTGGGTTGACTTTTTTTTTTTTTTTAAGCCATGTGCAGAGGCTGCTGTGTATCGCTTAAAGCATTGCCAGGTATCAATCTTTTTTTCTTTCTTTTTTGGTTATGAGCACCCAGATGAGAACTTGCAATAACACCCAATTCTAATTTAATCCTTTTTTAAAAACTCTCTGTATGAGTTTGTGTCTTTGTTTTCCTCCCACTGTGTTTAGCCTTTGAGAGCTTTGGGAGGTCCCTGTGCTGGTGATTTGTTAAGTTATCTCTGCTCTGTGTTTTTAATATTCCCTTCTTTCTGCTTGAGGAGGCAGCTGCTGATATTTTGGGAGGCAGTGTTCTCAGACCTGTGAAGATAAGAAGTGCTCAGCTCACTGTTATGTAATAGGGTGCATTTGTCTCCTTGTGGGACTGTTAAGCTTCTTCACTTACTACTCTGAGGCTTTAGTGCGGCTTAAAGACTATGAGGAGTATCCTGAAAGAGAGGAGATATAGTTAGCAAACATGATCTAGCTGAGATTCAGAACAACAATATAGAGCTTCCTGTTTTGTTTTTTTTTTCTCAATTTTCCTGAGCATCAGAGCATGATACTCCCTGTGAGACTTTTCCAATTTAAATGGTTTTTAATGAATTCAGAGATAGGGGGGAAGAGCAGAGAATCACTGTGATGTTTGATGGGAAATTCCTCTATGCTGTTTGGTAAACTTTCCCAAAGTATTCAGTCAAATGATTTAAAGTTGTTATTTATGAAACTGAATATAAGCCACTCTTTTGCTTAAAAGTAGGTGAGAAATATATGTGTGGTAGCAAATTATTTAGACTGAAAAAAAGAGCAATTGTCTGTGTAATAGAGTATATTCCAGCACAATTTTTTTCAGTAGCTATTTGAAGCAGATATCTGTACTGACTATTACACTATTCAAATTAGTATTACTGGCTGTTCAAATTAGGTCCTATTGCCTGCATCCGTGTGACATGTAACCAGCCAAAAGACTCAATTTGCTTTGCTTTGTGTTAGTTTGGTGCTCCAGGGTTTTAAGTACAGCAGCTTTTTCTTTCAGTTAGACTGCTGTTGGCTAGAAAAATGTTACTAATGGCAGTAAAAACAAACAGAAGAATTCCTTTACTTTGGTGTTTTTATGCAGTTACATTTAATTTTTAGACAAAACTTTACCTGTGAAGACATAAAAGATGATAATGACATCTAGAAGGATTGTGATGCTGTCCAGCCCTACTTTGGCTTCAAGCTGATTCCCCTTTTTCTTTTGACTGCTTGATGGGGTACCTTTGGTTTGAGTCAGTGGCAGACAGGATATTGATATTTGAATCAATAGTTACTGTTTGGGTTACTGAGGCTTATGTTGCTGCTGTTCCTGTACTGCCTGCTGCAGAAGTGCTGTGTTTTGCTTGGTTCATTTTTACTCCATCATTTGGTCTTACTATTGTGTGCTCATCAATGCCATATCCTGTAATGCTAATGACATTTTTGATGTTAGCACCTAACAGGCTTTTGATTAGGTGGATTCATGTGTTCTGGTTAGACTTGTGAGGCTGCTGAGTGTGAAACAGTGTGTTTATGAATAAAACACCTGTTCAAAATAGTTTTATTAAAATATTCTTGATTAGGGATTAGTGTTTTAATTCACTTTCTGTGGTAGAGAATGTGTGTGCTAATGCAGTTATTTTGAGAAAAGCTGTTATGTTGTGTAGGAAAACATTATAAAAGCAAACTGCAAAGCTGTTAATAAATAAAACTGCTTAGAAACACCAATTTATACACTCAGGATAGTTAGGATCCTAATTTTCTTGCTCACAATGAATCACTGTGTTTATAAGAGGAAATTGGCTGTGTAAGGGCTTTAAATAACTTAAAATTTTTCTTAATATTTTCCCCCGTATTTGGCTCCTCATAATGCATTTTGAGCTGTTGTGTAATTTGCTATGAGAGACTTAATACTTTCTGTATTTTAATTTAGGTCATTATATGCTCCCGGTGATTGGTATGCAAAAGTGTAAAAACACCCTGCCAAAATCAGCAATTGCTCATTTTACCTACTGAGGAACAGGGAAGCTGTAGGAGCTTTACATCTGCCTGCAGCCCACTTCTCTTAGGGTGCTTTCAAATTCTGTCACTGAAATGTTTAGTGATGGGTGCAGTTGGGAGAAGTTAAAAATAAGCATTTAATTTAATTTGTATATATGTATTTTAAAACTTAGGCCAGGTAGACAGTGTTTGGGTCTAAACCATAAACGCACAATTCTGCCATGTCTCCTCTATTTAGAAGAGCATCTTCCCTGCTAGGTGGCCCTTTCAGGTCATTGCAACATCCAGAGCACAGCAGGTGTTTGCAGAATTGGTGCAGACTGCTGGGAAATCCATGATTTCTACAGCCATGTTTTTCAGAACAGTCTGAAGCTGATTTAAGAGTACATTATTGCTTGGAGGCAGGAATACTTTCCTGGCTGTGATCTGCTGGTTTTCCAGTGCTGATACCACTAATCAGGTGTAGCATAAAGTCATCTGGATGTGAAGTCTTGGGAATTTCCATCTACTAATGGAAAGATAAGGAAAATGAATGAATAAGGAAGTGAGTGGAGTTGGAGGGATTGGTGCTCTCACCTCACCTTTCCAGCTTCAGTTTCCTGTACCCCGTGTGCAGTCAGTGAGCTCTTGTGTTACATCAGGGGGTGCAGGAGCATGGTCCCGGGTGTGCCTTATCAGGTTTGGCCACCTTAGTGCACTATCTTGTCAGTAAATGTAACCAGACTTTAAGAAGATGTTTGTTTTCCAACGGATTGTGGGTTGCCTTCTCCCAGTAAGTAGTAGACAGTACAAGTAAATGGAAAAAAAAAACAACAAAAGTGTAAATCAGAAACTAGTAAGGGAAAGACGATCTTCTGGTTGATACTGTTTTTAGTGGAGGGGGAGTGGGATGTAAAATGACACATCCTAAGGCTATAAAGAAGGAAGTACAGCTTTTAGATACGAGTCTCCTGTAGCAGTATTTCTACACATCATCTGATAGAATCTTACTTTATTTTTGTTGTTGTGTCAAAGAAACAAATGTGCTGAATAACAGGTTTATTTTGTTTTCAGAATGATCTGCAAAACACTCAGAGCTCTACATCAGCCACAGATGGACTCTCTTCAGCTTCATTTATAGACTATCCAAAGCACAAGCCATTTATTAATTCAGATTTGCAGCGTTCCCCATGGAAACCAGTAATTCCATATCCTGAAAGCCACAGCAGAGGTAATAGTTCAGCAAAGTTGTTTTCTTACATGTTTCCAAATCATAGTAAAATACTGTGTCTTCCACACCTATGAAGGTTGCAGTCTTTTTATCCTTTTATCAATTCCCAGTGATGTCCAGGTCACCTATTTTGTAGGTTCTTGGCACTTCTCTTTCCAAGGAACACCTGATGATAAAGGTCATCTTACACATGGGGACATACTCTCCTCTTCAGTAGTAGAGAATTGTAAAATTGTCTGCCAGTACAAATTTATGAACTACTCAGGTCTTTTGTCCCTTCTTCAGTCTTTCTCTCCTTCAGCTTTTCCTCTGCTGAGTTCCTAGCTGAGTTAGAAATAAGGAGGTTTTAGTCCCCAGAATGGTTTGCAGCAAAGGAAGAGGTTTGGTCCTGTTAAAATTGGAAGGCTTGTCATGGACAAAGGATGTGTTGTGAGAATTTTCGTATCAGTGAAGACTTAAAGGATACAGAGGAGGCTTCAGCAAAGTGCTGAACTGGTGCTCACAACACCAAAAATGGAGGCAATTTTACTCCCATTTATTCTTGTTTCTAGGCTATTCCTTCTCTTTCCCTTCACATGCTGGACATGAACAAAAAAACTGTTCTTGGTTAGTTTTTGGTCGTTTTAGTGAATTAGTTTGTCATATAGTGACTCTTACACCAGAGCTGCGTTGGGGTACGTACAAGGTGCGTCATGAGGTGTTGGGAGACCAGAGCAGGACCAGTCCTTTGAAGAGCAGTTTGGCTCAGGGTCATTGCAGAAATGCTCCCTTTTAAGACTTGAGTGTTATAGAGGCTTAAAGGTATTAATTACTTGATATTTTTTCCTTGTTGAGAAAAGTAAAAAATGTTTAGGATAAATCCAAATATTACCTAAACTAAGTAAAAAATCAGGATGATAGCCTCAAGTCCCTGTTCCAATTAATGTCTGAGTTACTAGGGACTTGTATGTTAATGACCTTAAAGATGAAATCTCAGTTCTTGCAGCACTATTTAAAATGTAGTATATACTCTCAAGGCCATCAGTTTTCAAAGTGCTGTTGACACAAAACTAAAACAATCTTTACAGATGAAAAATTGGATGTGCAGGAAAGAGCTTCCTTATGAATTACTGATGCAGGTGTATTTTTGTAGAGTGTGCTGCATGTTGCGTTAGCAATAAAGTTTTGACTACCAAGTTTTCACTTGGCAATTTTTTTTTCTGACAGTGACTCTGCCGACTCTGAAATAAGGATGGGTGGTGGAAGACAGTCAGATAAATTATATCCTGTTTTAGAAAGTAGCAATTTTTTTATTTTCAAAAAATGTTTAATTGAATTGCAAGTGAGTGTGAGTATGTACTGAAAATTTAATCCAACTCATGGATAATTCAGTATGTTTCTCTTTTCGCATAGCTTTTAAAAATGCAGAAATATTACTCAGTGTATAGCTGAGTAAATTTAAGGATGTGGAAATTAATTTCAAATGGCAAAATTTGATTATTCTTGAGGGTCCTCATTGCTCGTCCCATTCCCTATATTAAATCTTACTGAAAAATCCTGAAATTGAGTATAGTAGAGTCTGTTTATTGTGGGTTTAATGTCTTTGTATTATATGTGCGTGTCAACGTGCACAGTTGGCTTTAATACTCTAACAGGAATGACTGAATAGCACTTGGCCTGTTGGGTTTCTCCGTTACCTAGTCACTGCTTGAGTTGCTTCATTGCTGTGTTTTTTAGTCATTATTGTGTATATATGGAGATTTCAATGTAGCTTTTAACAATAATAGTAACAAACCTGTTCATTGTTTCAGCTATGCCCATTTCAAGTGAATCCTACGAACAGTAAATAGAGAAGAGGGTGCAATTGCTGGTTCTGACATTGCAAATAGGGCCAAATTATCAATAACTTACCCTTAACTGTGACTGCTGTTGTTACTTATGTACTGAACAGGTTTGCATTGATGTGATACTCTCATGTGTTGTTATTCACTTCAAGATTTGGTAATGTTTTTTAAATTTTTTTTTGTGTTATCTGGTGGCCAAACCAATATGCAGTCCCAACTCTTCCAGTGCTCAAGCATGCTTTATTACAGGTACATGCTTTCTCTGGAGTGGTTTTAAGTACAAAGGAATGGGCTAATGTGACCTTGCAGATTAGTCTGCTATTTGAGCTGTGTGTACAGATGTTGCTATGTTTAACTTCAGCAGCACTCCATAGGGGAAAGGGCTTATAGTTATGGTTCCCTTCACAGAATTAAACAGCCCAGCTATGAGACAGGTAATACATCAGATTACCAGCAGATGGTCTAATTGCAAGTTGAGGTGTGTTCTATTACAACTGCTTTTCCTTTTTTGGTGAAGAATATAGAAAGGCTTTGTTTAGTAACTGCTAAAGCTGGGAGTGCAGCAGAAAGGCAAAATGGTTCAGCACTAAGGAGATGGATGTTTTTAGATGGAAGAGGGGAACACAAAAACCAGAAGAATTAAAAAAGAAGTCTACTTATTTATAAGCCCTTCTCATTGTTAACCTTTACTATGCTGTGTGGCCATTCATGGGAGCGCTGTTTGTGTATTTGTTGTGGTAGGAAGAATATTAACATGGAAAATTGCCACTGTTTTTACTATCTAGTTGTGATTTTTCATTTCCGTTTGATAAAGGGTCAAAGGATACACTGTTTGTTCTCAATTGACACAATATTCATACACTTTGTTCTGGGAAATAGTTGTATCTTTCCCAAATGTGTCAGGTGAAGGGTGTGCACTAAGGGCATCTATTTGTTTGAGACTAGTTTTAGAATCAGTTATGATTTAAATTAAATTATTTAATTCCTGGAAGGACTCTTGGATACTGGTAAGGAACACTCTGACCTTCTTACATTACATGCTTTTTTAATAACATTTCAAGTTTAATTTGTCTTGAAGTGATGATTTAATGGTGTCTAACAAAAGGTACTTGTTCAATTGCAGCAATATTTTCTGCTCTGAAGAATCTCCAGGAAAAAATTCGTCAGCTGGAGCTGGAACGGTTTGAGGCAGAGGAGAATGTAAAACACCTCAGCAAGGAAACAGCAAACTTTAAAAAAATACTGAGTGAACAAATGCAAGACAAAGAACGGGACAAGACTGAAGTGTCAAAGAAAAATCAAGGTTGTTTGCAAACTGTATATAGATACTATAGAACATTGATGTGGATGAAACTTGATTCCTATAAAGGCATAAACCCATTTAATTTACTTTGTTCAGCATCTTTTAATTTGCAGTGACATGAGGAGGTACAAAGAAAGAATTTTAAGGCATTCTTCTTTTTAGGGGTTTTTATACAAAAGTTCATTAGGCATAATATGCAAGTTTCTTAGGTTGTCCTTTTCTTGTTTGTTTTGAAACTATCCTGAAAACAACAACAAAAACAATCCCAGGAACAAGTAATGCATGATTTATACTTTCTGCCTTCTCTTATCTTCAGAACTGACTTCGCAGCTGGCAGCTGCTGAGTCTCGATGCAGACTTCTAGAGAAACAGCTGGACTACATGAGAAAAATGATCCAGCATGCAGAAAATGAGAAGTCACATCTCTTGGAGAAACAGGTGTGTTCCCAAAACTATCTCAGGGTTAAATCATAAAAGTCATTAATTATGTAATGATTTTTCATAGTTACTGTAATTTTTATGCCTTTAAGTGTGGGTGTCTACTTCAGCTGGCCTTCATATGCTTGGGTATGGATAACTTCCCTACTTAAATTTACCAGTCTTCTCATGACCCTGGTATTTTCTTTGTACACTTGTTTCTAAGGCAATAGCAGGCTCTGGCATTAATATGAATTGTTTGTTTCTGCATGATTGGCTTACTGCAGTAGCTCATCCTTGTCCTCCAGTGTTATACCTGTGTGTCACTGGGAAACACCCTCCCTTTTGTGTTTGCAGTCTTCAGGACTTTGGAGAGTTTCTTTATTAGTACTGCTCTTGCTGAACTGGGGCTGAAATACTGATTCTGTAGAAATAGCAGTAAAATTTCTATTTCCCCTCATCACCCAATCATTCTCAGCCATCAGTGATAGGGATTTTGCCTATATCTAAAGTGAACTTTAATTTTGTTTTATAGGCATATAAAACATATAGGCTTTAGAGTTGCCTACAGCTATCTGTTCATTGGTCTCTATGGCTATTCTATTTCAGTCTGCTAAATAGAAGGGGAAAAAAAAGAAAGCTATTTCTAATATTTGCTTCTTTTTTTTAATGTTTTGAGCTGGGAGGAAGGAGAGACTCCAGAATCTTCTCAGATGTGGTTAAATGTATGTTTCCCCAGCACTGGTGGACCGTGGTGCAGTTTGTTCCCTGATTGTGGCACCATCTAAAATTGCATAGAGGAAGTGGTAGTTCCTTTGGACTGTTTATGGACCTCCTTTGTGCTCCAGACACAAAGATGTTGCAAAGATGTTTACTATAGGTGGTCTTGTTTTCTTGTGCTTATAATTTTTTTTCTTTTCACTTCTCCCTTCAAGAACTTCTTGGAGAGAAATCGGCTTATTGACCAGTCACATGTTCAGTCTAAATTGGAAAAGCTGGATATACTGGAAAAAGAGTACAGCAGACTAACTACAATGCAGTCCACAGCAGAGGTCTGTCATTTGTCTTGGATACTGTATCAGATTTATCTTGTTTATTGTAATCTGTACTTCATAGCTTATGGCAGTAGCAGACCTGAGCAAAACTTAGTGCTTTAGAGCAAGACAGCAACTAAAATTTATTTTAAACTGAGGTGTTATGAAAATTTGACGTTATTGCTGCAAAGGTACTTGTGTAGTGTAGGCTTTGGGGCACTGCACTGCATTGCAAGAGTTGGAGTTTTGTTATGCCTTGATAGTCTGTTGGTGGTCCTCTTTTTTGCTTAGTTGATGCCTAGGCATTGTAAGATTGCAGCCATTGCTAAGATCTTGACTTGCGTCCATGCTACTGAATGCTAGCAGTTATTTTCTGTTATTATTGATATTCACCCTGCCTTGTATGAATTTGATGGTTTTTTTTTCCTCTTAGCCCTCCTTCTTAAGAAGCACAATTATTAGCAGTTTTGTGTACAGACTTCTGTGGCCACATGTTGCAAGGCCTCTAGCACTGCGTGTCTCCCTGTGTGTTTGAGTCGGTCTGCCTTTTCAGGACTCTATTTGAATCAATAGCTTCTCCAAACTCAATGTGATCGTGTTTGGTTATATTGTGTTGTGGTGGGTTTACCCTTGAATTTTTATAATTTTCTTAATTTTATGGTGAGAAATAAAACTCAATCTCACCATGAACTGCAGGGGAATCTCTGCTCTGGCACCTAGAGTACCTTCTCCACTTCTCTGGTTAACCTTAGGGTCTGCAAGGCTTCTTCTTTCAAATATTCTCACTCCTCAGTTCTGGCTGCAGTTCTCCTGCAGGATTTTTTCCCCTCCTTAAGTCTGTAATCCCAGAGGTGCTGCCACCATTGTTGTTTGGCTCAGCCTTGGCCAGCGGTGGGTCTGTCTTGGAGCCAATGCCATTAGCATTGGGAAGTTTCTGGCAGCTCTTCAGAGAAGCCACCCCTACAGCCCCATGGCTACCAATGCCTTACCACACAAACCCCATACATCTCTGTGCAACCCCTGTGGTGTTGGCCTCTGATGCCCCACCTACATACCCCTCTCTGCTGCTATAAGAGAGGCCACAAATCTCCCAAGCCTGGA